TTTTTTATTTGTTTTTTTAATTAATTTATTTAATTATCACGTTTTTATAACACGACATTGCAGTCAAACCCACATCCAAGGTTCTTGGGTTTGGTGTTGCAGCGAGCCTCACTTAAACTTGAGTCATGTAAGTTTAATATTATTATTACTATTATAAATATTACTCTTGGGTTAAGCGTTACTGCTAGACCAACGGCTCTTGGGTATATCTTAGCCTTTTTTAATATTTTTTATGCAAAAAAAAAACTCATAGTGTATGCCTTTATTTTTTTTTCCTTTTTCTTTTAAAGCCTTTTACTATGGACTGTATAGCGCGGTCCACATTGAAAAAGTTAATGCATTTAGTTTTTTTTTATCTTTTTTCTTTACCTTTATCTTTTTTAATTATTTTTCTTAATTTAGGTTTTTAATATTATATTTTTTCTATTTAATTATCAGACTTTCATTACATAGATCTCAAGTTTGACGGGTTAACCTGGTTTGACGAGTTAACCTAGTTGATTCAGATTTTTTTTCTTTTTCCTTATTAGTTTTTTTTAATCAATTTATTTAATTATCACACTTTTACGACACGATCTTGCAATTAGACCAACATTCAAGACTATTGGGTTTGGTATTGCAGCCAGACCTACTTCAACTTGAGTCATACAAGTTTAATGTTATTATCAGTATTATAAATATTATTATTTGGTCAGGTGTTGCAGCCAAATCTAAGACTTTTGATTATAGCTTTACAAAAAGACCTAATATTTTTAGATTTTAATTTTTTTTAATATTTTTTATGTAAAAAAAATGACCCGCGGCGTCATGCGGGTCATGTAACTAATATATAGTTAAAGGGTGTGTTTAGTTTTTTTGTTGCTGAAATTGAGGTTTGTGCATGGCTCATAAGTTTGTATGTAATTAAGTTATATTTAATTTTAATATTAACCTTAATTATAAAAATAAACATATTCAAATTAGATTCACGCCCAAAGCTGGATTAAAAAAAATTAGAGTGAAAAAAAAGTTAGCAACATTTTTAAAAAAGTAAGAGAAATACAAGAAACAAGTTAAAACTCAATTAGTTTGATGATATAATAAGAAAAAGGTAGCAATAACAATAAAAAAAAAATATTAACCTAGGTCAAGCTGAATTAATATGTGAAACTTATGATCTAGCATATATGATCGGGATAACTCTATAGAATGATGAAATCATAAAAATCAATTACAAAAAAGACCTAAAAAATTTAAGTCAACCTGGTTTAATCTTTCAAACTCGTGACCCGCAAGGTTAGAAAAATCTCAATTAATAAAATATTGAGGGACAAAATAAAAAAAGAAAGCTCAAATAAAAAAAAAAGATTAAAAACAAAACAAATATCAATCAAAAGAATAAAGACCAAATTTGACATAAAATAAAATAAACTAAAATATTGAGGGATGCAATTGAAAAAATAATTCAATTAAGAAAATGGTATAAAATATTGGGGGATACAATTATAAATATAATTTAATTAAGAGAATGATTAAAAAATCACAATCAAAAGAAAGTTGACCAAGTCTAAAGGGTAAATATATCAAAAAGGGATTGAATTAAAAGAAAATTCAAATTATATGGATTATTCAAAATAAAAAATATAGGGATCAAATCCAAAAAAAAAAAAATCAAAGGGTTGCTTTGAAAATATGCAGGGGAAACACACTAAAATCGAGGAAGAGAGAAAAAAAATTGTCGTTCGTGCAAAACTTGATATTTTTTTGCCACACATGACAACCTAGGAATGGAGGCGACATTACAAGGATTAAAACGTTATCATGGAAGCCGAAGTTTGATAATCAAATGACACTATACATTGTATAGTCTGAATATCACAAAAGGATCCATGTGTGATTATCATGTGCAACCAATTTTTTAATAATGAAATAATATTTTTATATATGTTAAAATACTAAATTCAATAATTACAAAAACAACAAAGCTAAAAAGAAAACAAGAGCCTTGATCCAAGGAAAAAATAATTTTAATTCAATGGCATTATGGTCATTTCACTATACATCTAAAATGAAAAAAAAAAAACCATTCCCACCATCACATTAATTTTTTTCTTATATATCATATAAGTAATTTTACTACGTAAAAAAAAGAAAGATCGATTACAAGACCAATTATATTATGTTCATGAATGTAAAATCATCATTTACTATTCAAATACATAATGTCATTTGTAGTTATAATGTCATTTGTAGTTATAATGAACAATGCTACAATATAAGTCGGGGTCTTTTTAGTTTCTTTTAATTTGTGAATTTGATGATTTTCAACCAAATTTTATAAGTATGGCAACATAAAAATAAAATTCTTTTTAATGCATTAGTTAGATTGTATAGATATACCAGACATGGGCATGGGCTTCTGTTACACTAAGGGTTTGTGATAGTTTTTTTTATAAAATATTCAAGTACAACAAACATGTTTTTTTTTAATTAAAAAAATCTAATAACTTATGTTATAGTCCTGATCAATCAAATAAACTGATTTTATTTGAAATGGATGGAAAAAAAAAGGCGATGATAGCAAAAAAAAAAAAATCATGATAACTCGAGTAAAAAACTATTATCTAATAAAAAAAATATTATTTAATTTTCAATTAATTAAATATGGAAGGACAAAATAGGACAAGAAAACAACAAAAAAACAAGTATAAGTCAATTCATGCTAGCACAATAAACTTGTAATATGGGGATTAATGGATAAGTCAATCCGGGTTAACCCGCCAAATCTATATCTTAAGTTATGAAGTCGGGATAACTCGATAGAAAAAAACTAAAAAAAATACAAAGCCAATTTTTAAACAAAATTTGAACATCAAAATTGAAGAAGAAAAAGAAATAAGCCAAAAAGAAAAGATGTCAACCGGTGACCTGGGTTATAAAACCAGAAATACCATGCATGAAAAAATTACAAAGCACAATCCCCAAGAAATGAAATGCTTAAGGACAAAATCAGAAAAAAAAAATTACAGAAAAAGATTAAAAATAAATAATACTAATTAAAATAAAAAATAAATTAGAGAAAAACAACAAATTTTTGATTTGGGGATTAAATTGAAAAGAATAATAACTTTAATAAAAAAATAAAAAAAATCAGGATCAAATTGTAAAAAATAACACACCATAAATTAGATTAAATGATGGAATTAAAAACCAATAAAACTTTTATAAAAAGATCAAGAAAAAAAATCATAAATTGAAAAAATAAATTTTAAATTGAAAAAAAAAACAAATGTCTAATTTTAGTGTGAGTGTATGAAAGTTAATGTAATTATACTATTATCGGTAAAACAAAAAAAAAAAGAGTAGATTAAATTACTTTTCAGGTGGATTACCCACCACCTGTATAGTTACTCTAATACATCCATACAAAACATGATTATAATCCTCTCCTTGTAAAAATAAAAGTAAAGCTTATTGTTCAATTAAATTTTAACAATATCTGAAACAAATTCCTATGTGATCCTGACACAAATTTTTAACAAATTCCTATGTGAGGTATTGGCAAATTTGAGTTTTGTTTGGTAGTTTTTATTTGAGAGAATCACAAAGATATTTGAAGTTATGATTTTTTTATATATATAATTAGTCATGAAAGAGTATATTTAGAATCAAAATAAATGTAAAATTAAATTAAATTTTATATATGATTTGAATTCAATTCATAACTTATTATAAATTTTATATTTAAAATAAAATATTAAATCTTATAAATGAACTCAATTATACTTTTAGAATATTTAATTATAAAATTGAATTAAATTAACAATCTTGACTATTTTATCTTTGATTTAGATTTACATTTGACATATTTTCAGTAAATAATTTGATATTAAGACCGGTGGTATTATGCGCAATGACCTCCTCAAGTTTTCTGGTGTCTGAACTTACTATTCAGAGTAAAAACACGGTGTGTAGATTGAATGAAGAATCTGCTTCTCTTTTTTTGATTAGATTCAATGGAGAATCCTCTGAACAAGAGAAGGGAAGGGAAGAAGTCTCAAACTTTCAAGATATAACGAGGCAAAAAGAGAAAACGAGTTGCCATTTTAGAACTGATGTGAAAGAGTCCGTTGGAAATTCCAGTGAAGAACAGGAACTGTAAGTGCCAAAAAAATAATGGTTCTCAGGGACACCGTTTAGTATATGCTGACAATGTCCGGTGTTTCCAGGTTACAAGAAGCTGCCTATTTTATGTAAATGTGGTTGTGCATTAAAAAAATTAAGTTTTTAAAAAGGGTGTTTAGGTGTGATATGTTGGATTTAGATATGTGTTTGGTAAAAATTATAATTAAAAGTTTATATATAACAAAAAAATATGTATAAAATATTTTATAATTGTATTTAAAAATATGATTGCGGTTGATTTTCAAAATGATTTTTACTTAGAAATATATCAAAATATTTTATTTTATTTTATAGGATCTCACAATACAAAACACAATTTAATTTATTATTAAATATCTTATTATATTTATTGCACTGCAGTTACTTTGAAAAGTATTTTTTATTTGAAAATATATTAAAATATTTTTTATTTTATAAGATATAATAATACAAAACACAATTTAATTTATTATCAAATATCTTATTATATTTATTGCACCGCAAACTAAAAAGCAGTCGAAAAACAAACGCATCAAACCAAGAACTTTTCAATTCCACATGGGAAATTTAAATTCGGCAAATGGCAATGTTACACTAGCAACAACGTATTCCTTTTCCATTGTTTAAATATTTATTGTGAATTTTAAGAATTGCGCTGAATTGTTAGCAACCTAAGAGTAAATGGCTAGTTAATCATTCTCTTCAAAAAACAATAAAAAATTAGTCGGATCACGAGTCTGATAGGGTGGTCGGGATTGATATAATATATCTTATTTTTAATATATTTTTTTAAAATATTATCTTAAAGCTTTTGTAGTTCTGAGTAAAGCCACCTCACAACAAACTATAAATCTTCATAATTTGCCAAAATTATAGAATAGTTTTATTTGTTCATGCCAGAAACCTCAAGAACAAGTAAATGTTAAGAAACATTAACATATAAAACTAATGTCTTTTATAGAATACTGTTTTCCTTTTCAAATACAACCTCTCAAGTGCCTCTTTTGTTCTTTTACCAAGCTCCATTAGTTGTTGCAGGTCCAGCAGCCTGCATAGAAGCAAGAAAAAACCGATCAATCCACAAGAGGGCCTTTCCCATTACATGGTCTAGAGAGCATGCTTGGATGTATATTAATTTCACCTGTTGTAACAATCTTCTTGCAGAATATAGTGTCTTTAACCAAAATCTAGTGGATGAAGCGAATATCACAAAACAGACTAGTAGAGCATAAATAATCAACACTCTCGGCACAAAACAGGGAGAAGGAACTAGTAAAAAGTTTGAGATGCTTACCGATCGATTGACAGGAGATCATGAATGCATTGCAGATTAAAACAAAGTTAAACTAAAAAAAGGCCACGTTCATGAATGGTAACCGGTCACATGCACAAGGATGAATACAAGATGAACACGAGTAATTCAAGAACGAAGAAAATTTAAAGAGAAAACATCCCAATTCATATCAATCCCAAAGAGCAGTTAAGGAGATTAAGATATGACCCGTACCTTTTGCTACCGAGTCTAGTTTGATCTATCAAGTAAAGCGAGACTCTCAACAAAATAATCAGCGTAGTCATCAAGTAACACCTCCAGCCCCGTATCATGAATTTCCTGTGTCTGAGGATCACATGAAACTAACTGAGAATTTGCATATCCTACCATTAATATCTCTCCATTACTCCTAAAAACCACCGGCCATGCTATATCGAGCATTTCAATCCGGTATTGCTTGTCCCATGATTCCCTCGCACCATATTGGCTCATCACCCATACCTCACAAACATAATTTCCGCCATAATCCTCAAGGACATTGAAAGAAAGAGAGTCCTTGAACACTGAAATGGACATCGCTGCCATCCGTTCTGTCGGATCGAAACATTCAGGCAGCATTAACTCTCCGAATGAATTATTGCTTAAATCAAAGGATAGTGCCAGCATACCGTTATTGTCTCTAGGATGTAGAAGCCAGTGAATGACCCCATTTACAGTGGCCGGATTGCCAAAGCCATGAAGGGTGATGCTGCGCAAAGTATCTTCATTCGCAAGACTACTGCTGACATCAACGTTTTCATTCCAAGATCCTGAATTGAGCGAGTAAAATTGAAAAGCAAATGGACGCTCGTCCGCATATTCTGGGCTTTTTAGCCTCACAACCCTGGCAACCTTATAGTCGTCACTTTGTGGATCATATCCAAGGCCCAATAAAGTCTTGTCAATAGCAGCCCACGAACTCGGAGCTGGAAGATCCAAAGTTTTTCTAATTGAAGGGTTCCACAAGACAAGTCTTCTGCTGCTATCGAGTTGGAGATATTGACTCGAAAGACATGCAACTCCATTACAACAACCAATAAAATAAAAAAGACCAGCTTCAACCATCTAGGTGGTGGCCAAGTGGTAAGAGTTTGGGATCAAGAGGTTTGCTCCCTCTGTGGTCTCAGGTTCGAATCCTTGATTGCTCATATGATGGCCACTGGAGACTTACATGGTCGTTAACTTCAGGGCCCGTGGGATTAGTCGTGGTGCGCGCAAGCTGGCCCGGACACCCACGTTAATCTAAAAAAAAAAAGCATAAGCTGGGCCGAACACCCCACGTAAATAAAAAAAAAAAAAAAGACCAGCTTCATTCGGAATAGGAAACTCCAAACGTGAGCACATATCTACACGATCATTATCAAGATGCAAAGAGTAAGATACTACAGGATTTTCGGTTCGAAGGAGAAGCAGTTGCTTGGCTTTGTCCAGATGGTTCTTCATGAAGCCAGGGCTAGTAACGAGGGAGTTCCATGATTTTGATGCACACCTGAATCTCAACATAGATTTGACGGGTAATTTTAAGAGAATCTGCATCACCATATCTTTCGTAATAGAATTCTCCGCCACTCCTGTCATCTTGATGTCTATCTTGAAAGGCAGTTGCCGCTCAGAGAAAAGGGTTACAAAATTGTGAGATAGAGAGAGAGACAAGTTTTTAAGGATGAAAATTTAGGGTAAGCTTGTTTAAATATAAGAAAAATATTCTAATTAGTAAAATCTTAATTAAATTAAAAATTCTAATCTAAATAGAAAAATAAATCCAAATATAATAAGGAATTTAAGTTCCGTTCAGTTTCGATAACCATGTAAATTAATCCAATACATTGATTTTGTAAGGAAAATATACAGCGAGATTCCAGTCTTTTATTTGTATTTTATTTCGATTATATCAATACAGCGAGATTCTAGCGTTTTATTTCGACTATATCAAAACTCTAATAAAATTATACTTGTAAACCAACAATTGGAAATTTGGAATTTGGAACTAAAAAACTCCCTTTTAGGATGAGCAGCTTGACACTATCCTTTGAAAAGAAGAAGAAGAAAGAAACAGAGAGCAAGGCTTTTTTTCCCTTCAATACACTCTCTGTCACTTCCTCCTTCAAAAGTTAACAACAGCGGATCGGAGAATTGCTTGTGAACGAAGACTTGTTTCGCAGCTAAAGAGACAGAGGACAAGATCAATAGCAGAATCAGGTCGATGCCATGCTTCTTGCTTATCGGGTAAAGTGGCGGCAAGTACTGGGAAAAAAATGGTTTTTCCTTTCCCTGGGAGAACGATAGTGTAATTAAGCTCTACAAAATCCTTTCAATATCTTCGCTGGGAAGCAAAGTGACGTTAATGTCGGTCTTTGTCATTCCCTCCTGCTCTTGCTTTTTATGTGCAGGTACCATGCATGCACTTGAAGGTTAAAAAAAGCAGGGCCCGAGTGGAACTGAACGCGCTCTATATAGCCTAGGAAGACTGGTCCTTCCACCATGTGATTATGTTACCCAAGCCCTTCCATCGATCCCTTCATGCCCTAAACATGGCGCCGCCCTTCTTATCCAAATCTTCCATGCATGTCAGTTTAATCAATATTATAGGTTTATCACTGTAAGCAACAATATATAGTTGTAGAAAAGCCCAAGTTTGAGTGCTTTTAGTCATGAATTCATGCCTTATAGGCAAGGGAATATGTTGAAATTTCTTCTTCTCCACGTGACAAACTAAACAAATAGCAAATTTTGTGACTCATTTCTCACCACATCCACATGCATGTATCCCTATGGCTTCACAGCTTGACAAACCTCCCCCCATACAATATATAGATAGGAACACTTGTCTTCGCCTTAACTAAGAAAAAGTTACATTATCTTGTCAAGAAGCAATCATATTGGTTCACTCGTAGGCAGATTACCTTTTTTGTTACCTCGGCGCCATGATAATAGCTTGGAAAGACGGGGAGTTCACATAGTAGCTAGGGCATGGCTCTATCTTTCTCATCATGTATGCTTATTTAAGCTAATTTTCTAAGCTTTCCACACTAAGCTCTTCGATCCTACGTACCCTGCTTCTCTCTGGGCATTGATGAGTGATAGCTCTTGATTGGTACATGGATCTCAAAGTAGACCGATCCCATATCCGAAAATGGAAGCACCTGGTCGATCGAGGCTATACAAATATAACTAGGTGCTCCCGATCGAATAGAGCTCTGAAACATGAAAATGAAAAACAGTCCAAGCTTTAAGGAGCATGCCCGAAGGTGGAGATATAAAGCATCACGGGGGGCGGCTTCCATAAGCCTAAACTTTTTATCTTGTTTTTATTTAAAAACACTTAAAAATATATTTTATAAACCTATTTTAAACTCTAAAATGGCCTACAATCTAAAAAAAAAAAAGATTTAAAAAAACTTTAACAACCACAATATTATTTTTAGAGCAAAAAAACTACATTGAACTCACTAATATCATCACTCTTTTTGGTGTCTTGAATGTCAAAACCTTTTCTTTGGTAAATATTTTTGAATGACTCTCTCTCTCTCTTCTTTTAATTTTTAAGAATGGAAACAAAAATAATAATAAAATTTTGGACTAAAATATAAAATTCAAAAATAATATGGACCATACGATAAATAAACTGAAAACTATAATAATCAAACTCTCTGTTTGTGCCAATATCAAAACAGATTTGTTTGTTTTTTTAGTTTAGTCTTTTTTTTTAATATCTATGTATAATTACAAATAAATTTTTATTTTGTAGAAAATTGCTCTCCAATTCATCACTAAAATATCCCTTAACACTTTACATGTATAGAAAAACATAAATCATAAGACATCTCAACATGTAATATAACTTGAAAGGATGAAGATGCAATTAAAAAGGTTGAAGAACTGCAATTAAAAAAATGATTATTGTTCATGTAAACAGCAATATCACCCTAGTTCTTTTAGTGTTTGCAGTAACGGTGACTGGCTTGGAGAAACAGTAATATCAACCCATTAATATGACTGGCTTGCAGTAAAAAGTGAGAATGCTCATGATGGAAGGGTCAGTGTGACAAAAAAAAAAAAAATGAAAGCAGAGGTGCATTTCGGCCCGTTTGTTTGCAGAAAAGTTGTTTCTTTTTGAAAAGTGAATTCCAGAGAAAGTGAATTCTGGAAAAGTGAATTCCGGGGAAAATGAATTCCTGAAAAGTAAAGTATTTTCCGATGTTTGGTAGTGTTATAGAAAATGAACTGGAAAACACTTTGCAGTGTTTGGTTATGTCATGAAAAATGAACTGGAAAATAATTTATTAATATTTTATTTTTCTCAAGTTTATTAAAATAATAAGGAATAAATCTTACAAATTAAAAAGTTGAATAATAATGAAATTGAAAAAAAAATTTCATAAATTATCTCAAATAAAATAAATAATAAAGATCAAATCTAAAAAAAAAAGATGAAGAATTTTAAATAATAATAATTAACATTTCATAAAGTATTTCAAATAAAATAAATAACAATCAAAAGAATGAGAACCAAATTTGATAGAAAAAAATTTCAATAAAAAACTAATAGGAGAAAAGCAAATAACAATTATAAAAATGAGGACCAAAGTAAATATAAAAATTAAATTTTAAGAAATGAAATTAAAAAATAAATATTCAAAACAAAATATATATAGCAATCAAAAGTTTGAGGATCAAATTTGATATAATCAGCAAATAATGACATTTCTAAACTTTTTACAACTTCCGGAAAGTGTTTTCCTCCCAAATTTTTCAAGAAAACACTTTTCTGAAAATCAAGCCAAATTTTCCTTTGACTGGAAAGTGTTTTCCTTTTATCAACTTTTATAACAGCAAATAAACACAAGAAAGTTTGGAAAGTGTTTTCTCGGAAACCACTTTCTGGAAAACAAACACAGCTAAAAAGGAAAACACTTTCCTGAAAATTAAGCAAAAATTTTTTTTGACTAAAAAATATTTTTGTTGACCAGAAAGTGTTTTTCATTGACCGGAAAGTGTTTTTTGTTGATTGGAAAATGTTTTCCGTTAACTAACTTTCTTAATAATAAACAAATATAAAAAAATTTTAAAAGTGATTTTTCAAAAATTATTTTTTGGAAAACAAACATAGTCTCCGTGATTCTCAACCTCCTATAACAAAAGGGTATTGAGCACTTGACCTTAGAAAATCTTGAGAGGGACATGTTGGCACTAACAAGAGGGTTTAATCTCAACTGGAAGCTATTCTCCAACTCCAACCTCTCTAAAACCCTAATTCCTTCACTCATTAGACTCCCTCTCATGGCAGCCACGCGTCCTTCAGTTTCTTCTCCTACTTACTCCACTGGATCTCCTGTTAACGTGCCCCTAAAGCACGTGGGCACACACAATGGCAGCTTTCACTGTGACGAGGCTCTTGGCTGCTTCATGATTCGCCTCACTAGCAAGTTTTCCAATGCTGAAATTGTACGAAGCCGCGATCCGCAGGTAATAATAAAGCAAACCCATATATTTTTTCCGATGGTTTGATGCTCTACACCCTGTAAAGATTCAAAGTTTGGGGGTTTAGAGTAGGGAAGGTTTAAAAATTTGACGGCTTGGTTTTGTCAGTACTGCAAACCCAATTTCTGTTTTGTTGCCTAGAAATAACAGATACTGAAGTAATTGAAACCTTGGGCGGTGTAAAGTAGGTAAATATGAGAATCTAAAGGCGTGGTTTTGTTAGTGTTTTGGAGGATTTTGGAATTTACTTATATTTTTTTCTCATTTGAATTTGCTAGTCGTGCTAAAAAAATGCAGAATGATGTGCTGGAAGGTGAGCATTGTTTTATGAGAATGGGAGTTTGCACATGGGGGTTGTGGGATTTAAAGTTTTCTAGTTACTCTTTGCATGTAGATTTATTGGCAGCTAATAACAGAGCTTGAGCTCGTAGTTTGGTTGTGTATTTATGTAGGCCGCGTGTGAATTGATTTGGGGTTGTTTCAGGTGTTGGAGGGTCTTGATGCCGTGCTTGATGTTGGAGGCGTGTATGATCCAAGTCGTGATCGGTATGATCACCATCAAAAGGGTTTTGGGGAGGTTTTTGGACATGGGTTCTCTACCAAGCTTAGCAGTGCTGGACTTGTGTATAAGGTATTCATTTGTTTAATTGCAAATGAACCATGTAGTGTGGAATTTAATAGAAGTTCTGTGAACAATTAAACTATGGCAGTTTAACTATTTTCTTGATTATCAATCTGATTTTTACTTGCTTTCTTTAGCACTTTGGAAAGGAGATTATAGCCAAGGAGCTTCAAGTGGATGAAGGTCATCCAGATGTGCACCGCTTGTTCTTGGCTGTTTACAAGAGCTTTATGGAGGTGCTAACTTCTTCATATGTTTGACAAATTTAGGTTACAATCCTTATTAATATAATGGATGGTGTTCAGAACTGTTCTTGAGATCTTGCTTTGTGCACCAAAGATTCTACTCATGCTCTTTGCCAAAAAACCATGGGTTGTATCAGTGTCCTATACTATACTTCTTATTTTGATCACGTCAAAGTTTTCAAAAGATGATGCTGCATTTTTCAATGGTATTTTAGATAACTTTGAGCATG